TTTTTTTTTTCTTCCAGACTGCATCATCCAATACTGTGAGAGTGTTAGTGTGTTTTCATTATAGATACATTACAGAGAGCTTCACAATATCCATGGTACCAAAAGTGCAGTTCACCACCCTTGTTCTCTCTTTCTCATGAGCAGCATCTGAGCACACCGCTCAACTTTACATTTCTCCTATGCCATTCCTACCCCCACCCCACAGCCCCTGGGCAGTTCTTCTCTCATCCCTTACATTTGTTTCATTGCAGCTAGGTTCCACTAGGGGGAACAATTCTCCAGCACTCATACCCCCCCCCACAAACTGAATCATTAATCCATCCCTCCCCCCCATCCATCCTTATTCAGTACCACTTATTTCATTACAGATGCTTGCTAGTGGAATTCATCTACCCATGGTTTCAATGTTCGATGCATTTAAGTGCATGGGTTACAACTCCTATGTTTGTTTTATTTTTCTTTTCTTTTTTTTCTTTTTTTAAAAAGAAAGTTTTTGCATCATACTACTTAAATAAGCAAGAAGCCTGGGTCAGCTCTCTCTTTGTGCTCCTTGAGAGCTCCTGAAGTCAGTGCTTCCAAACACCATCCACCCCTCTCAGAGCTGAGACGACAGTCTTGGAAGAGGTAAACTGGAAGAGGCCCCCAGGGATGCATTGTGGTCCTTAATGGCTGGAAAACCAACAATGCTCATTTCCCTTCTTGCTGTCTCTCCATTTTCTGCCCCTTGCTCATGACAGTGAAAGGCAGTGTGCTTGACAGGCACGTAGAAACATTATTTTCTGCCTACAAAATCGCTGAATCCGAGCGCCCGCCGCCGCAGGCGCCGCCCTGCGCCTTCCTCAAGGAGATAAGTGACATCAATGGCTGGAGAAAGTTGGAAGGAGAGAGAAAATTAGCAGCTTGGACACAAATAGATGACACAGGGCGATCACATTAAAGATAAAAAAATTAAAAAAAATTTTTTTTAAAGTAAATCAGCCGCATGGAGGCAAGTTACTTTAAAGCAAAAATGCTTCAAGTATAATCTGTTAAACAGTTAATAAGCAATAAAAATTAAGTCTGATGTTGTTGTACACAGAAAATAATAATTCCCAGGGTCGCTTAAGGCAGCTCATTCATTTACCACTGGTAATGGATTACTAGTCTGTATCCACCAAATATGGCTTTGGTACCTTGGCTTAGACATCGATGGGATAGATACTGGCTTTAACATGTTAATCATTTGTTTGTAGTAAGGTAATGTTCTTAACTCAAGTAAGACCTCATACCACAGTATCAGTATTTATTGTATTTAGAGTTCTATTTATTGTGGTGCTTAGTTAATCTGTCTCTATTTGAGCTCCTTCTTTTGTGGAGTTTTTAAACATACTGAGGTTTTTCTTTGGGGGGGCAGTAAAAAAAATGGCCTTGGGGTGGATCAAACGCTGGCCTCTGCATTAGCCTTGCAGCATATGGATCACTTGTTAAACCCGGTAGGCTAAACTAGCAACCACTACAGGATGTGTTTAATGTTTTGGCTGCTGTAACAGGAATTTCCCTTTTTTTTTGGATAAATACTGTTTGTCTTATCTTATCAGAAACAAATTACATCTACAAGCCAAATAGTTGGGTTTCACAAGCATTACATAAATTCTTGAGAAAAACAAAAAAAATGTGCCTTTTCATAGTTCATGTACAACCCACCTGCCTGAGCTTAGTCCAAGTGGGAGAGAGGACAAACATGGCAGAGCAGAATGTACATTACTTCAAATTTACTGTAAAGCAACACAAAACTGCAAGAGCACAGACATTTGTGCTGATATGGCTGCTTATCATTATACTGTTAACTGCAATTAGATTACAATGTTTCTTTGGTAATGATACAATGTATCAAGTAGCGTAATTAATGACTTTATAAAAGATGGACGTAGTCACTGTGACATCATCAATCAGTTTGTTAAGTGATGTTATGAGGCCTGAGTATTTTCACCATATATCCATGTTAGTGTTTTAAAGTATGATGTAACGAGCCTGGGGTGGTTCTGAATGTAAAACTGGGTGCTCACTGGCTAACAACTTGTGACTGACAAATCATTAGGAAATGAGCATATCCTGGGCAATTCCCCATTGTGACTTAAATAAAAGCTTCTTTCAGCTTCTACTTTATTTGCAAGGGGTTGTCACAGCAGACAGATCCGATATATGATGTGTAAGGTTTTTTACGCCGCAACAACCCTCTCATGGTCTTGAAGTGGGGATCTTTCACGTTAGGCTAAGATTAGTAAGTGAGATGAAGTGTTAAAAGGAAACTCCGGTATATTGTAACTTATTTTAACCCATTAATGTGGCCTCAAGTGTCATGCCAACTTTGCAACTTGTCCTCTCTTGTAAAGACTGGAGGAAATGTGAACAGCATTTATCTGGGCAACTAGAATCGCTAGTTTTGTCTTTGAGTCCGACCGACAGTAAACACAAAACTTGGCTGTATTTCTGTATCACGGGTTATCAAATGTATTGTAGTGGGTAACGTGTAATAATCCAGCGCATGAAATGACATTTTACTTACTTGCCAAATGGGAAGCTGAGAGTTCAGTCCGGCCAGTCTTGGTCTTTTGTTGATGAAACACCATCTCAGGGATGGCAATGTTTTCAAAGCTTTCAATTCATGAATTGTAATTCCACAGCTCGACACATTCAAAGGCCCCCTTCTTTGCAGCAGTCGGCATTAGCAGAGCAGTGAGGACAGGAACACCACCGGTTTCCCGAGGTAGGTTGCCTCTGCCACCATCTTCAGAGTACTGTCTTTCCTTCTTTACGTTTAAGCTCCTCATCCATCTGCTTACTCTGGGTAAAATCAATACTGACAAGCGAGCTGATACAGCCTCTCGCCCTCAAAATGGTCCATGGGGTAAATCCGCCATTGCATTTAACTGCCGACTCTCCTCAGAAGACAGTATAAACACAGTGTAAGTCAGCTACACACATGTGATGATGAGTATGCCAGTGATTTGGTCAGTCGGCAAGTATCCCAGAATGAAGATTCCTAATGCGGTTAGTACAATGCCCGTTCCAGGCAACATTCGGTCAGACTGAAAAATGATTAAAATTAATTGATGTAAAAAATAAAAAATATATATATCTTTTGTGGTAAACTGTAGGCAGTTCATGCTTGTCGCCCAAATAAATGCTGTTCAGATTAAAAACTTTTAAAAAAAAAGGTGATGATCGCAAAGTGAGCATGACCCTTCAAGCCACTACAGCCATATTAATGGTAAATTTGCCGGGTTGAGGTAAATGGGAATTCTCCTTGAAGCGTTGGTCTAAATTTTGATATTTTTAGGTGACATAAAATAGAACATAAATATGATCTCCTCTTCATCCTATGCTTCTTATGGACAGATTCTTGCCCCAACTTCAAGCTTATTCTTTCAGAAATAGTAGTAGTTTTAAAAAAATGATCCAACACGTTCAAATGACGTGTCACAGCAAAGTGACCTTAAACTTTAACCCTCATTTATCTGTTGACCTACCCCCCTCCTTTGTTCCCAGTCCCTCACCGTTCTTGCTAGGTGTTCTGTGCAGCAGATCCAGCAGGATCTTGTTCAGTCGTTCCCGCTGGGCCTCCCTCCTGCCCAGAGCTGGGTGGTGTAGTGGCGATGAAGTCGAGGATGACGGAACTTCAAGCAACTCTCCAATCCTCTCGGCTGAACGTTCCTCCAGCCCCTTGCGCTCATCGGCTTCCTGTCCATCCTCCTCGTCCTCCTCTTCTCCTGTCTCCCTTTCCCGTTCTGGTCTTCTAGGCTTGGCTGAAAGAAGTGCGGAATCTTCTGAAGCCATGTCCATGTCGTCTTCCACTCCTCTTCCATCTTCTCCCTCAGGTGGGAAATCTTCACCCCGGTCACAAGAAGAGGCATCGTCCTCACAGCCTCCAGCTTCTTTGGGTCGTTCGCTTTTCCAGGCTGATCGGCCGCCGTTCCTCTTATAGTTGTCAGGAACATAATGAGGCTGCAAGGAAGCCAAAAATGAAATTTAACATAAAGCACGTACGTTTCAAGTAGATAGGGTTTTAAAATGTAGAGATAAAAAAATAAAAATACAAAAAAAAAAAACCACTTAGGGAAAGTCCACCCTGACTAACATCCAAGTTACCCTCCACGAGTACAAAATAAGAAGTAATTAAAACCTTGAGGCCAAAAGGTAAGTGCTGACAAGGATATCCCTTTTTGTATTTTTTTTTTTTTTTAAAGAAAGAAAAAAAAAGAAAATACAAGTTCTGGATTCTGTTAACTTGGTCTCATTTTTCAACACAAGCAGACTTGGCTGGAAGAGGCTTTCGGTGCATCTGTTGCATGAGACTGGGATGTCTATATGATTGTGTGTTGAAGTCTCTGTACTGTATCAAGTTCTAAAATCATACAAATCTGACAGCTGTCATCATAACAAAAGCTAACACTACAACAAATATAAACTATTAGTCTGGTGCATACAACACTACATTAACTCTGTGTGAATGTGTTTTTTTTAAAATAATTTCTTGTGTGACCCAATTTTATAAGCTTTGGTTGCTAAAACACAAAGAAAGAAAAAAAAAAGACCCCAGCTAAAACATGACTTTTTTAAAACATGAATTCTCAACACATTTTCTAGTGTTTGTAAATCAGTAACCGATCCCGGCTCAGCAGTCCTGTCGCTCTCACCGAGAAGTCTCTTTTGGGCGTAAGCCGCTTGGGGAAGTGGTTGAAGGCATATGGCTTGGTGCAGACCGGAAAACGGTTGCGATGGATCTTGTAGAACAGATGGGCCGACTTGTCCAAGCGGTAATCACAGATGTACACATCCTGCTCTTTCACACCCTTTGGCCGTCCTTTAAGAAGAATGCACACTGAATTAGCAGGGACGTGATGTATTTGAGCAAGAATAAAATATTCAAGTGAGCACATGCCTAAGCATTTTCCTGTAGCGTATGTTTATCAAAACTTAATGGGAATATTAACCAAATTCCAACATGGTTCTAGCAGTTCAGCTAACATATTTGGGTTCATTTGTGCATTTTTACCTTTGCAGTAAGTATAAAGGTCGAGAACACAGCAGGTTCCCACCACCGCCTCCAGGGGGATGATCTCATAGAGCGGCATGCGGAATAACTCGTTCTGGTAGAATCGCCGCGATGGAGAATGGTGTGTCTCGTGAGGACGGAAGTAGTGGTGGCCAAAGGCAAATCGCTCACCCCTTTAGAGTGTGAGTGGACAGTTTCATTAGAACAATAATGAAACACACACACACACACAGACACACAGTTATTCTCCCTGCCTGTTTAGGTAATAAACCTACTTTTCGTTCTTCCACAGCTTCTCAATTCGGAAGATGTCGAGTTTGTCTCGGTTGATGTGAGACAAGAGACGGTAAGACTGTCTGACAGGCTGACCCTCAGGTGAGCGTCTGCTGTCTCTCATCAGATACACACAGTCACCTGCACACAAACAAACACAGAGATCAGTTACTTATCTACAATAATATGTCTCACAAGAATCTGACCACTTAAGTCACCTAGAATATCAGACTCTCTCTGCTGCAGATCTCTTGTATGTCTAAAGTTTGCAGAGAAGTTAGAGAAACTTTTTTTAAGCAATCTTCTATTGATAAGTTGCAATAATACATTATGACATTTGCAATAAAATAATCGACAAAAACAAACCTTAAAGAACAACTCAGCCTTAAGCTGAAATGAATGTTTCTGATTCAAAGTTTCAAGCTGTTTCACTTCTGACCACTCCTAACCGTTGAGGCAGATGTGGTTGGGTGTGGTCAGAAGTGCACACTTTTGCATGTATAACCACATCAATCACGTCAGGTTGCCCTCGAGTAACACAGCATGCAAATCATTGCATCAAAATGATACATTACTCTGTGAGTACAGGGAATTTTCCAGGCATGTGTGAGCTTATGATTGCTTTATGATTTAGATACCTTGGTGTAGCAGCAGGTCATCTCTAAGGAGACAGATATAGTAGACAGAGCCAGCCTGGGCGTAGCTGGGCTGGGGTATCATGGGGACTTCCTGTAGTGAGGATAAGACGCATCTGAGACACTTCTAGCCAAACAACAACAACAACAAAAAACCCAGACTTTAAGGAGTTCATCATCCACTGTAGTTTCGAAACAACAGACGCACCCTATCTACAGGCCGGGGATCGCACTGTTCACACAGATAGTGCTCCACCTCAGTTTCCAGTCGCATACAGTCAAAGTGCTGCCACACCTATGATGGAAAAAAAAAATTAAATCACATAAATGCACATAAAGACAAAAAAGAAAAAAGAAGACTTTTCAAATCAGTTACTGTAAGTAACATTGAGTTACAGCTCGAATGAAATGCTCAAATAAAAATAAAAAAAGCCTCTGCGTTAGTGATTCACCACCTCGACTGTTTCTGAACCTCTGAACTTAAGCTCCTTCAGTATTTGTTATCCTCCTCATTTTCTGTATCTAAAAATAACAGACAACACACACAAAAGACTGCCTGCATCCTCTGCATGGAAAATCTCCTTGACAAAGTACTTCTCGGATAGGTGAAGTCTTTAGAGAGACGCTAAAATAGTTCTACACCATCAGCAAGTGAGATAAAAGAAGAGAGGTCAAAGTAAAGACTGTTTCTGATATTTTTTTTACTTACCATACACTTTTCACATTGAATCATCAGGCCTTCATCCTTGTACATTCCACAGATGCAACGGATGACATCGTCATCCTTGTCGTGAGACCCAGGCCCTCCTGTGTGGTGGTGATGACCGTGGTCACGGTCCAGTGAGTCTGAGCTGTCTGCCTCGCTGGCGGTCTCGCCCACAATCTCATCAATCTGGACTGCAGCTTCATTACGAGCACTGTAGTAGGCTTTCCGCAGCCGACAGACATCTCTGCCTATCGATGACTTCTTCCCATAATATTTCTGGTGGGAAAACGAGACAGTTGCTGAATCAATCCGTTACTGGCAGAGCAAAAGGACAACAGGACCTCACAGACACCATAAAGTGATGATATATAAAGCCGAGGAATGCCCATTTGACCCCAGAATTACACGCTCATCATTCACTCGCACGGTTAAGACTTTGAGTTGTTCATCCTTGAAAGGCTACGGGCAATTTCCTGCAGGACAAAGGTCACCGACACAGAAAGATTCATTCAAAACTGTCTTTGCAGCTGCCAAAATTTCACCGGCAAGGCTACACCCACATTCAACAGTAATTCACATTCCTCTCACACTTTTTCAGTCCGCCAGAAAGGGCCTTGGGGCGAGAGGGTGATTCTAATTTATACGTCCACTTCAAACTTCTCTGACTGGAAGAGTAAGCTTCCCTGAGAGCTTTTCAAGTGGCACTTGTTTAAACTGCTTAGCTATACAGATGTAAATCAAACAGCCTTGCAACATGTGCACACAGGATCAGCAGTCGCGAAGTTATGTTCCATTTGGGAGGTTTTTGTGTGCGAGACAGGAGAAAGAAAAGCAATGACTGAGTGGGAGGAAGAAAGTGTTGAAGCTGCACAATAACAGCGTTAAGTATCAATTTGACGAGGCCCTTTGATAATTGAGCTCCAAGAGTCTGGGATTACACACAAGAGTCCACGGCATGGCCGTGTCACTCAAAGATTAAGACTGGATGCTCCAACAGCTGAATGCCTTCGTGCCACCAGCATGTTTGAGTTTCTAATGACTGCTAACAAACGGACTAACAGATCTATGACACTGATTAAGCAAGTAGTTTGCAACCAAACCAAAAATTTCAGAAAACTATCATTTTCATGGATGAGTGTATCCCTCAGGACATGTTATTAGACTACTAGCAGCATAAACTTGTCAATTTTCACCAGTTGAAATAGGAACACAATTTATTTCCAGCTGCTTCATAGACTCTTACTCTCTACATCTTCAGTGATTTTCAAGCTGATCTGCAGCTGTTCCATTCACACAATGAAGTATATATATCAATAATATTAATAATGGATGAATCAGGAATCTTATTGTCTAGCAATATAAAAATTAAAGTTAAAAGATCAATAAAGGAAGTACTCATTGAGAGAGCTAGCAAGTAATTAAGAGAGAGCAGAGATGATACGACAAACTAATGTGTTGGTATTTACATTTCACTGAGTTTCTAAATAAAAATATTCAGAAGGTTATCTAGGCATGGTTACATTGAGTGGCTAGTGAGTGTACCTCAATTTCTACCTGCATTTTTTAAAATCCTCATTGGATTAATCTACCTCTTTTTTATGGCTCTAAAAATGCAAACTAAGGAATGCATCACAGAGATCTGAGTTCCTCAGTTTAGCTGCTTTACTTGAACAGCTTCTGATCCTTACTAGTTAATAAAATCCTAATTTCTTCTACTACAAACATGTGAACTGGTCCTTTGCCTACCTCAGCATTGCGAAATACTTTGAGCATGTCTGTGTCAAATGCTTCAACCGTCTTATAATGGCCCGTGAGGATTTGCTTCTCAATGGTGCTCAGGTCCAGCGGGTCAGACACCTTCTCATAGTACTGGCTGTTCCTGATGGTGCACAAAGATAAAAGAATTAGGCTCCAAATTTGGTTTGTCAGTAGCAGAGGTGGGTGGGAGGACAAAAAAAGGAAAGAGAACATTCAGTTCAAAACTTATTAAATCAGATTCAACCAAAACTCAAATTTCTATGAGCATACAGGGCAACAAATCCCAGATTATAACAGCTTTTTTTTTTACCATGTAGCTGAAGAAAAATAATAAGCTGCTATTGTTTTGACACCAGCTGATTACTATCAATACTGGACAAGCATCAACACACAGGCTGTCACGATTGTGTGTGGCGAGAGATAAAACTGTTACACTACGTGGGTGCTGTACACAGATAGACCAGATAACATAAGTAGGCGCTGTTTGGTAAACATGAAACAGCTGGTCGATATGCAAGTTTACACTCTTACCTCTTTCGAGATGGGAGGTTCACCAGCGGGGCAGCAAGTGTCTGACCAGCGGAGTCTGAGATTAAAAGAAAATAATAACATTCCTGTCATCATTTTTCAATCACAGATTCTTATCATTCAGTAAACAGTGGACAGCAACACCGAGGCACTGAAAGATTCCTTCAAGAAGCCTGATCAGACCCCAGATCAGGCTAGAGGTCATACTAATGAGAATATCAATGTGACCGGGTTCACTCACCCTTGTAGCTGGTTATCATATCACAAATCTCCTTGAAGATGTGAGCAAGGCGAGCGGTGCGTGTTACTTCTGTGTTTTCCTCGGCTGCAGCTAGCCTTCGTGTGCGTACCGACCGTGACGTCTGCAGGGCTGAGAACTGCGTCAGGAACACGTCTGGACACAAGATATGACCATTTAGCATTAACGTCTAAAACTTCTGCCTATTTACAGTCTCTGAAATTTGTCTACATTTCAAAAGTAAATGTCCGTATCCCCTTTACCGTACACTATTCTTTACATAGCTTAAATTACTTGCAACTGAATTTCTTAAGCTTGTACCTGACTTGATGTTGCCATCATCACGGATGACTCCTCCCCAGCGCGTATACATGGACAGGCTGCTGGCATCCCTCTCTCTCTCGCCCTCTCTTTTCAGCAGCTCCTGTTTCTCCCTCATCTTCTCCCAGTTCCTCAAGAGAAACACTCGATGCTTCAACACAAAGTTTCTGGAAATCAAAGGAGACCGTTTAAATGTGTTACCATCAACTCACACCTCATGAGTTGAGAAGTTTTTACTTTTAAATGACATATATATATGTCTTGTGTATTAATAAACCACTCTATTAGGATGGAGAAGCAAGCATTATGTGCAATGGAAAAAGAAATTTAATAAAAATGTGTCACTGGCTTCCCAGGTGCCTATGAATTGAGGGGTTCAAGCAGCTTCCTGTGTACAAGTCTTAAAGGAGATGTGATTATGGTATCACTGGTGATGGCTTTTTAAAACTAAAAAAAGGTTTCTGCTATTTTATCCCTGCTTGATTCATGTGACTGAAACAGGAAATCACTTTGGAAACTGTGTGGGTGGTTGACTTGATGCATGCTCAATTATTCAGGTAAGGAAATCCCAGAAAGTTAATTCTGCTCATCTGGATGTTGCATTTTCAGTGGGAGAAACATTTTGTCTCCTGGATGGTTTATTGTGTCCAGACTGATCATCAACAAGCAGTGGAAAAAAAAGAGTCCTTGATGGCTTTACAGTGGGCTCAATTGCTTAAATTCTCATTGTTACCATTTTTTCAGCAAAAATGCAGAAATTTAAAAGGTCATTGCACTCACAGATAAAGAAACATATTTGATTGATACTAGTATTACCACCTTAAAATATAAAACCTCTCACAAGCCTACAGGTCAGATTTATACTTTTAAGGATGCATGGGAACCCAAACACAATTTATCAGTTGGCCCACTAGAGTTATGCTTCCTCTTCTTATCTTGTGTGTCCGTTTATGTTTTTACCTCTCTCTGTTGGACATGGGCTTCATCAGATGAGGGTAAAACTTGCTGCTGTCACTTGACTCTTCCTCCTGAAGATAACAAAAGTCCCATTAAACAATTCCTGTCTTCTCATCTTAAACAGTTTCTCATTCACACACATCGGTGACAACACCATTCAAGGTGCTCTTCAGTCTTTAGGAGCCACAGAGGGATTAAATGAGGGTTGGGGATAGAACTGCCATTATGATTAATGAGGAACCCACTATAACTTGCAGGTTACTCCTGATTTCATGCAAGTTCAGAAAACATTTTAGGTCACTAATGCAAAACTATACCCTTTAAGGTACTCCGAGTTACTTTTTTTAGAAATCCCGTGGCCCACTAAGAGCACCTCTGAGACAAAGAAGGATTTGTGCCCTACATAGATACTGCACCTGAAATCTACCAGGACAGTTAGATTTCTATTCAGTTAAAATGTTAGTTTTCCCTCATTAAAATTTTTTAACACAAGATATTAAGCTGCAAGGGAATCCTTTTCTGTGTAATAGGGAAAAAAAGCCATTATCCAGTCTTAATTACAAGTGACCTGATCCCACCGCAAACTCTCACCACTTCCATCTATATGCATCACTCACTCGTTTCTTGAGCTGGTGTTTGGACTTCCTCTTCTCCTTGAGTCGACCGAGCCGCCGAGTCCCTCCTGATTTCCCAGGCAACCCATTAATACGCTGGCTCTTCCCTCCGATGATGCCCCGGCAGCCCTCTGAGCCACACTTGCAAGCTTGCTGCAGAGAAAAGTGCAGTACAGTATGTGAGAAATATGCACAGGTGCAACAGAACGTCTGAAAATAAGCGTTCTTCCAAAACTGTTTCTAGTGCTTCACCTGCTCTTCTGTATTGAAGGAACGGAAGTTGTAGTCGTAGGTGAGCTCAGTGCCGCTGCTGATGTCTCTGCGAGCAAAGAGACCTATTCTGTACACCCCGTTCACTGACCTGCAAAAAATGAGTATATTACAACGAGTGAAGCTTTTATGAGATTTTTAATACTTAAGGAGATATTCTCCGCTTTGAAAGGAAGCAAAGAAGCATGGTAAGTTTTAACCTGCCCACAAGCTCTGGAACAGCTTTTATAAAATAGCAGGTCGGTGATTTCATTTCAAAATCTGAGCTTACTGTAGTAGCAACTGTCCCAAAAGGGCCTGTACAACAACTATAAGGATACTACATGAACTTCTATTTGCAGTGTTTTTGTGGTTTCACTGACCAGCAGCGTACAGCCTCAGGACAGTTCCTCTCGTGGACTCTTGAGGCTGAATCCAAAAGCAAACCAATCTCCATAGACTCCCATACTATATTGCTAAATTTACAGCATGGTGCAGTTTTTACATTGAAACAAAGTGCCAGCAGCATTCACACTTCAAATTAAGAAATGTCATCAGGTACAGTAGCTCTTTGGCTAAAATTATTTTAAAATTTTACAAATGTCATGAGTCAAGCTTGCTAGTTTCAGCTTAAAGTTTAGCACGCCACCATCACCAGTTCTAGTCTGTTCTGGCTCAGAAGAAACAGAATGGAGGTATTCAAAACAGTCCATCTTTTATATACAGTTAATGATATTCATAGGTCACTCCATTCTTTGCAACATAAGTGCTTTAACACATACACCTGAGGGAAAATCATAAAGTCCAAGAGCAAACCACACTTTTGTTGCTGTGAGGAAACGGTACTAAGTACTGAACCACACTTCCCAAAAGGTTAGGCAACAGGTATATGATTTCAGTTCATTATATAATTATACCCAAATGTGTATTTTTCAGGTTAATAGTGAACATTTTGATTTGATCACATGAAAAGATTCACTTTTTCAAGGGGTGTAGTTCTAGACTAGGGATAAAAAAAAATCACTAACTACATCCAAAACATATTATATCCCTTTTACACAAGGATGTACAAACACAAATTTCTCCCTGAAGCAAAGCTTTAATTTTAAGTTAAAATGTAATGTCAGTCAATTACATGAAACCCAGTTTTAAAATTGGGACAAAAAGGGAATAGTCAGTGTGACAAATGTTCAACAAGTAATCCCTTTCTTCCCCTCTCCAAATGAAGCAGCGCTCAAGCTTTTCACTATTCTTGTAAGAATAAAACACACCATTCTGCTTGCCAGCCGCTTGATAATTTATTCCTTCTATAGGGGTAAAAAGCTGATTCAGCGCATTGTCTTCAGCCACTACAGCTGTATCTAAGGCCCGGCTGCATGTAATCTCTCTTCTGTGACAAGACGGATGACTCGTCAGGCTTTGTGCTGAAAATCCTCCATCCTTGTAGAGTCTTTTATTTCAGGAGTGCACGCAGGCACCTGCAGACCTGTGTCCTAGATTGTGAACTGGTCTACGTTGGAGGGCAGAGGGTACAACGTGATAGTAAACTCTATGATGTCATTAGCTTTCAACAATCAAATCCTCTAACGGAGTTGGCACGTTCACTAAAAGAACTAAAGATAAACTAAGCAGGTTTCACTTAGAAAAGCGAGGCAAAGGGAGGCCTGCTCAGCCAGGTCTCCATGAGCTGTGGATTTAAACATGCTGTGAGAACAAGCCCTCAGGAAAAAAAGAAAATTGTTTTGGCAGGTGTAAGGGCTTTAAGCCATTAAGGTCTCTGAACACTGGAAGAAAAGGAGTGAGGTGATCTCATCAGATTACCACAACCACATTAATAAGGTTGGGTTTCAAGGTAGAGCCTTCTCATTTACAGAGCGGTGCACCTGCAACACGTGTGTCTTTTAGAGCTATTATGTACGATACCAAAAGAAAGGCAACAAATACTGCCTAGCATTCACTGTGACTACTTATCAAGGTCTGTTCAACTGGTTTAACTGTACAGCTGCATGAATATAATAGGCTTTTACCCAATTTCTGCGTTATTTATTACATACTGTTACTATGCGGAGGTAATAACAGGCTTCAGACAGCATTAAATGCTTAGTTACTGGTATTTTTGTGAGGATGGATATCCTGTTCTCCAAACCTGCTGCTCCAACCTTTTTTGTTTGCCAGTAGCAGCAAACAAATGGTCTTAAAGGTAGAGTGACTTTAATGAGAGAAGAGTTAAATAGCTCATTTCAGACAGAGGAGCTGCACCAAGGCGAGGCACACAATAAATAAACATTATTTTGAGCTGCAACATCATTATACTGCACTGTTACCTACTATAACCCCTGGTCTATGATACCACGAGTGAAAAGTCAAGAATGTGGCCGGACTTTATGTAGCTGGCCTTGTCTCCAGTTGTCTAAATTCCACAGTACCATCTTTTGGGCCATTCCTAGTGTGTTATAGCTATAGTCGGTTGCAGAGAAGACCATTTTAATAACACACAGACAGCCTATTTAGGTAATAGGCTTAACATGCCCCGACTTTCAAGAAAGCCACCGAAATACTGAAGTATCAAGCTAGAAAACTTTGCAATGAGCTCCTGTGACACTGCTGTCACATCGAGCAGCATCACTTGTTTAACACTGTGCCCTGATATCCCCTGTGACTAAATCGACCTGACAATATCTGCCTCACATGGTAACCTATACCGATTTGGACTATAGACACATAGTGAGTATAAAAGCAGTACTCTATATCTGTATACCAAATGTGGTTCACACCAGGCCTCTATCCCATCCCTAACAACTTGTGGCAACTGCTCGTGCTCAGAGCCAAAAAGGCTTAGCCAAATCTGTTCTTTGGTAAGCACCCAAAAGCACCACAAGGGCATTAGCAGAGAAACAGTTCAATGCTGCTGTGACACTCACCACTTCTGCATCTCACAGTTGGGTTCACAGCTGTGGTTTATGAAACGCGCCTCATTGCCCATTCTGTAGCTATCAATCACCATGCCACTATCCAGGTTCAGGCAGTAGTGGCCACTGTGGGAGAAGTACTGTTCCATCATGCGACTCCTAAAACATGGAAGGTAGGAATGTGTTGAAGATAAGAGAAAGAAATATACATCATCTAACACTAGTTTCATGAAGATGTCCATCTCACCTGAACTCCTGTTCGCTAACAACTTCACCCAAATACTCAATGATGAACTGTCCTGAGCGGAGAGACTCCTTGGTGCGGATGCCCCACCCTTTGCCCTCAGTGCGGAAACGCTCCAGACACTGGACCCACTCGTGTCTCTGGATATGCTGGTTGTCACAATGATCTCCACATGGACAGGTGCTGGGAGAACACTCAGCAAAGCTCATCCTGTGAAAAATAATTTTAAAAAAAATTATGAAATAAGGCTGCCATTATAGGAGCCTGGAAAGAAAAGCAACTGGACTTATGTAAGTTTCTTGAAGATGTTATTACCTGTCATCCGAGAAGCTTCTTGATTACCATGACCCCCCAAATCCCCAAAACTCCAGACCTCTGAATCAGTCCACTCATTCTCAACTGTAAAATGTCCTATCCAGAACCATGGACGAAACTAACACCCTTGCCAAGCTGTTACAAAACGCTGTTAACTGCTGCAGTGCCACAGGGATATTTTCAACAGCCAGTGCTTGCTTGTTTTCAGCACCCCTGAGGCATGGTTTCTGTACAACATCTGAAGCACATTACTGTTTTTACTCTGCTCTGCTGCATGCTAAAAACTCAATAGGTTTGCAACACTTAAGATGTCAGATTGAAGAGGATATACTGGTTACAAACAATAAAAAAAAAATCCCCTTCCTATGGAGATAGGTTTGACTGGAGAGAAAGACAGCCTGAAGATGGAGATGGAGTGCAATGGCTGGCATTCCTGTCTGATATCAGGCTACTTTTCTTCTGTCTTGACAACATGTTTTGCCCTCTATTCAAAATCACTTAATTCCTAAAACAAAGCGATGTAAAATAACTTTTCTAAACAAGCACATGACTTCATCTGAATACTGAAAAGTAACACGAGACTTGTTGAAAACAGCCAATTATGATGGTGTATCTTTACCTATTCAGGCATTCATCCATGCAGCCTTTTTCAGTTGAGTCTTCGGGAAGTCTACAGTTGCATGTAGTTGTTTCATAACCAGAGAGAGGCTTCACATCCACATAAACATCTGTAAAACATAAAACTGAGTATTACCATATCATTCTTACAGTGTTTGACACACAAAGTTGAACTGTAGACACACATCTTTAATTCCTCTTTTTGTAACCGGTGAAGCAAATATCCTTATCTTATATATTTATAGGGAAACACCTGAGTTTAACAAAGCTACAAATTATATTTAAAAAAATTGAAATAAAAAAAAAAAATCCTTTCACTCACTTGATCTTATTTTTTTATAAAGGGGGACATCAGGCCTCTTGTGTAGCTGAAAGGAAGAAATAGAGCGGTAAATGCAAAAGTGGTCGAAACAAAAATACATACTAAGAAACTCAGAAAGATTGATCACCTGATCATGTTTCCACAACCATAGGATGTCGTAAGGCAACTGGAAGTCAATGCGTTTCTGTCTCAGGTACTTTCCTGGGGGGGTGGGGTGGGGGGATTTGGGAAGAGAGAAAAATCAGTCCGTTGTATTTATGCTTCATCTTATCATAGCTGAAAACACAGGCCTGTGATAAACAGAGGAGAGTCCTGTTCCAAGAAACAGGTTTATCTGGATAATTTACTAGAGCCGTTTGAATCTTGGACACGGACTGAAGTAAAATGAGGTTTTCTAGGTTTTGCTTTCCCTCTCTTGGCAAGTCTAACTGAGAAATTCAAATTTGTGAAACCTGCCAACGACTGACTTCTGTATAAAGAAATTTAAGAAATGTGCTCAAAAATTCAACTAAATAAATAATTAAATCTACTTTCAGCTGTTCCCATATTCCCCAATTTGTCTCTTTTCTATCGTTTACTAGTTAGGTAAATGATTAAATGACTACACTATAAATAAATAACTTGGTTTTTAGTGTTTAAAAACTCCTCAGTTGCTTCTTAAATTTTTTTTTTGATGCTCAAAAAATAAATCAATAGCAAAAATGTCAACTAATTAATTTTAAAACTCACCAACATGTATTGGAGCAGGAAACAATCCATACTCATGTTCCCCGGGTATATACTCTAGCTTCTCTTTCTTCAGCTGCAGAAGCTGACTACGGGGGCTGTAGAAGAGGAAAAGAAAAATGTGAAGGCATTTCACTGGCTGTGCAGAAAAACTGTATGACACTATGAAGTGTTGCTGTCTGAATTAAGGATTAGTAGGGAGAGGATTTGGATCTCCGCGCCCCTAAGACTCACTCTTCAGTTTTGTACACATCAGAATATAACCCCGCTTTCTGGAACTTCTTCTTCGGAGGTCGTGCTGGTCTTTTCTCTCGCTGGGTGGCTATGGGCATAGGTGGAGCTTGTTCCCTGGAGACAGGGCCTGGGCCCTCTGATGAGCAGTGACCATCTGGCTTGGTTTCCACTGAGCTAAAGATAGAAACATGACTTGGTTTCTAGTGACAACTGGACTTAATAAATGTTATACATACCACCACTGAATCCTAATATTAGTACTCACTGTCATAGAGAAGAGTCTCTCAAGTCCAGTCTTGTTGAATATGCAATAGTGTATTATAATTTGCTTACCCATGAAGGCTCTGTAGCTCATCTTGGGTAAGCCAACTCCTTCCTGTCCCAGGTCTGGACCTTGCCACAAGGCTCCCTAGGTTTTCCTCTCTTTCAGGCAAGTGTCCCTCCATGTCTTCAGCCTCCCTGTCCTCTTCCACATCCTCCTCCTCTTCCTCATCCCCTTCTCTCTCCCAGTGCTTTCGCTTCTGACCTTTTCTGCGTTGCCCCTGGACTACCGACTCAATAGCATCAGTCACAGTATCACCCTCCCACCCTCTTCCCTCTGCTAACCGTTCCACCCCTTTCTCCCGGTGCCGGACTTGATTCAACTCTACCACAGGTGGAGGGGACGGTGGTGGGGAGGGTAACGGGTGTTTCCTAGGACGTCCAGGCCCCCTCTTCTTTACCATGTTGTTTCCTGTACGGGCCTGTCTCTGCAGCTTCTTGGCACGCAGGATTTTGTTGACATGGTGCAGACTGTATTTGGAGGGCTGTACCCTATGGGAGTTGTGAGACAGTGAGACATCCAGGCAACACTCCTGAGAGGGAGAGAGGCAGGATGAGGAGGTTGAGCTGTGGGAGTGAAACAGAGAAGACTGATGATGGTGCTGTTGGCGGTGGTGCAGGGATCCTTCAGGTTCTTCTGAGGTTGGGAGTGCAACACCCCTTGTCTGGATACCTGATGACCCTGAGGAGAGAAACAGAAAATGAATGGTCTAAATGAATCTTAAAAATGCTAAGTAGCAACAGGACAGTTGACACGTCAGCACTCAGGAAACAGTGATACTATGCTTATGCATGTCTTCTCTTGTTCCTTTAGGTCCTTTTCTATTCGCATACATGCTTCTAATCACACTTCATTCCTTTTTGATTTTTGTTAATCCAAGAGTAGCAGAAAAACTCTGCTAAAATGCAGAAAAACTGCTGAAATCAGTACAACTTTTGGTCTCTTTGGTCATATTTCTTCTATAAGAAAACAAAAACAAGTACATAAAAAAAAAACCTGCAGCACCTCTAAATCATCCCCTAGATGTATTCCAACACTTCCAACAATATTCTTTACATGAAGAAAAAAAAACTATGTTTAAAGGACACTGTGCACTAACAACAAAACTTCAACCAGCCTTGAAGCATGGGGGAGGAGGTATCATAGTCTGGGACTGCTTTGCAATCCTTTAAAGGACAATGAATTAAAAATGAGTGAATTTTACGAGACAATGTCAGGGAAGCAGCCCATGCCCTTGAACCTTAGAAGACACTCTGGGTGATGAAACAAGACAAATGACCCAAATCCCATAATTAATAGCAGAATGGCTGAAAAATAAGAAAATACGGGTTTTGGAATGGTATGGAAATAGAAAGTGAGAGGCTAAAGAAACTGTGCTGTGCTATTTTTCCCCTCATTAATCTTGATCTTCTGCATCTTCTTAGAATACTTCCTTCCCTGGTCTGACCTTCAGAAACCATATTTCTAAGTTGTTTTTATTTTTTTCATTTCAGACAGGCCCTAATGTTTTAAAACAGTCTACACCATCAAACTTTACACAGTTTCATTTAATGCATTTAATATGTCTTTTTACTTGAGAAAAAGAAGCATTATTCTTACTCCTAACTCAAAATCCTTTAATTTTTTGGTGACCCATACAAATGGTTTATTTTGACTGAAATATGACTTTCAAAAGAAATGCCAAAATAATAATATAACAATTCATACACTTAAGTGGATAGAAGTTGCTGGCAACTGTACAAGTCTGAATGAATCATTAGACACATTGTGTATGCATTTAGATTAAACCCTCTTTACTTCATGGTAGGGTTTTTTAAATAAGGACATTTAACATAAAATGTGTGCCAAATCAAACATGCAGATCCATCTGCTGTGGTGACCACAATAAGGAAATAAGGAAGCACCTGAAAGCATAACCTCCTACTCCTTTACTAGAGACAGTACTGAACTGACACACAGCAGACCGCATATCACCCTGTAATATAAGGTCAGAGTGCAATGATCAGTTAATTAGCCAATCACTGAACCATATTTTTAACAGTCCAATGTGCTGTGACACTCTTTGAATCTGCCCATCTCAACGGAAACCTCTTTCACATCTATTCACACATGTCCTTTTCCAAAACATCCCTTACACTCTTTTTGCTACACGTCACCATCTCTACACCCACTACCCTGTCATTGTATATTTGTCAACTTCTGTCATTCCCCACTTGTGTTGTGTGGCAACCCAGTCCCCACCCTTGGCCTCCCCTACCTTCACAGTTCTGTCTGTGACCGCTGGGTGACCCCATCTCCTGAGCTCTAATCCAGGATTACCCTGGCTTGGTTTGAACTGCATCATGCTGCCTCAACAAGGACCTTTCGGCTTCCCATATTACTCATAGACACACGCATAAACATTAGGTAATACTCACATACAGTCAGCCTACCAGTGCTCATACACACGTTACAGCTCGTTAAGAGCCTCACAGATGAAGCGAGATATCTACCACGGCACTGTGTCTTACATCAGCAACATTAAACCAGCCCAGGTGCTGGGTGTACTGATGGATAGGACTAGGCCCCACATTCTGAGCTTTTGAGGGAAAAGACTACTAAGTATAGCACGTTAACAAAATACTCCACCCTTCTAGCAAGATGAGCCCTGGCAGAAATGCTATATCTATAACTGTGGCTAACCACACACACAAAGGAGCTAGTTTAAGCAATTATGTATGCTTTTTTTGCCATGCTGGTAACCACTACTAAGAGCTACCAAATGTTAGAGCGTATGCACACAAGATGTCATTGTGTCTTTAAAGTGGGCTTGTTCACTAAAATAAATGACCCATCCAGCTTAGTATTTTTTTTCTTCCTAACACTGGAGAATTGTTAATTTTCCAGTGTTGCTGTGAGGTATGTATTTGAGACCCCACTTGCTGTGCCATATGGCAATAGCTGCCCACATAAAGGAGTTAGTGCCGGATCTAAATGATTGGACACTGTGCCAGTTTTGCCAGAGCTGTCCAAAACTATAAAGCCCATCAAACAGCAGCCAATCACATTTAGACACAGAATACAAATGCATCAGAACTATTTTAGGAAACGTGATTTTGGTGGAAAATTAACTCCTGCAACCTTTAACAATGTCACATTTAATTTGGGTCAAATGATTTTCTGTACAGAAAAGTTATCAAAGACACAAGCTTGAAAAGCTACACAGATCATAAAGGATTTAATGGATGAAATATCCAAGAGGAGGTGAAGGCAAACTGCTCCCTGCTGCTTTAAAATATTACGTTTTTAATAACCTATGCTACAAACATGCCAAGATTATTCAAGCAAGGTATTAAGCAATTATGTTTTCCTGCCACTTTGCATTTACTTTTTTTTTTTTTGAAGCTCTGCCATAAAATTAATTTTACTATGGGGTACACTAGGAGCACATTTAATTGGAATGCAGTCCAATACACCATCACCACCTATGATCTACATAAAGAAAAAAAAAGCAAAATAAACCACCACCAGAAATTCTCCTTTACTATAAATGTCAACTAAAGCTGACAATTGTTTAGTTTTTTGTTTTTTTTTAAATTATTCCTAACCCAAACAACAGAGATTCCAAAAGTGCCTTACCCAACTCTCTCCTCTCTGCTGATGTTGAGTGTTCCTTCCTCATTGGCCGGTCCATGTGAGAGAAGCTGGAAGTCTCTGTAACTACATCAGTCTTTCTGCTCCTGCCTCCTTTCAGTGAAGTGCGGGTGATTGCTGAAGCAAACAGATTTGTACGCTTTGGAGAATCGTGGGTTTCTACATCCTCTGTGGGAGTGAGAGGCTCCTCATCCTCACTGTCCGAGCAGCCCGCTGGGTCTTCTGCCCGTCCGTCTGAGAAGGAACCCTGGCCAGGAGCCAATTGACTCCGTGACAGCTTTGAGTAGTCTGCTTCAGAGTTGCCTATCCTGAACCAGGACTCAGCTGAGTGGCCCTTTGAGCTGTTGCCCAATGCAAGCCTTGAAGGTCCTAGACAGGACATGGAGCTCTCTTTGCGCTTGTACCTTTCAGCAGATGAGGATGAGGAAGAAGAGGGGGAGTTAGCAGAGGTAGTGGCAGCTAGCTTGCTGGCACTGGTGCTGGAGGTGTCTCGTCCAAAGCGGCATCGCTGTAAAGCCTCTGCCATTCCCAAACCACTAACTCGCTCTCCTTTCCCAGATGTTCCACTGTCTGAAATCCCTGCACTAGCTCGGCTCCCTGATCCACCTCTTGCTGCTTCCTCCCTGTCATCCTCAGCACAGCGTTCTCTGTGTTTGTGTCTGTGTTTATGTTTGTGGTGCCAGTTGAAGGAGAGCTCAGAGGACATGGGTGGGTATAGGACAGGAGGCCGTCCTGCTCCCAGGTACTCCTGCCTTAGCAGCTTGTGTTTTTTCTTGTGAAACTTTGAGTGGTTCAGCAGGAGATGTGAAGGGTGGTGGTGATGTAAGAAAGATGTGGGGGGAGGTGGGAAAGACGGTGAGTGGTGAGTGTGATGTGATGGGGCTGTATGGGGTGACTGGTGGTGTGGGTGGGGATACAGCGCACTTGCTGGAGGATAACCTCTGTAATAGCCCAACCCCAGAGGTCCTGATGAGTAAGGAACATAGGAGGGGTGGTAGAAGCCTCCACTTGAAAGGGGGAATCCAAGTCCAGGTACAAATGGAACCTCAGACATAGACTCCCTCAGTTTGGGAGGCCGTCCACGTTTCTTCTTCATATCCGGTTTACGAACATAGTGCAACGGGTCACAGGAGTATGGTGGATGAGAGTAGAAGCTGCCAAAGTTAACCCTGAAGATTGTAGGCAGGAGGTCTCTGTGAACATAATGATGCGGAGGAGGGCCACCTGTGCCTCCTATGGCGCCAGCAGCCCTGCCACCCACCCCTGGCACTCTACTTGATCCCGCTGCTATCCCTATTCCGCTTCCGAGCCGGTGCCCTGTGGTGCGGTGAGTTATGCGTATTTCACTTAGTCGCACAACAATCTCGTCCAGCTCAGCGAGGAAGTCTGGGTCGAGCCGTCGGGAGCGTAGCTGTAAGTACTTCTTCTTGCGTTTCCTCTTCTGCCTCTTTAGCTTGTCATAGCCGGGGCAGCCATGGCTTCGGCGTTTGCATTTGTGCTTATGTTTCTCCTTGTGTCCCACTAATGTTGTGGCGGGAGCTGCTGGGTGAGGTCTTCGGGGATCAGGCGATGACCTTGTCCCATGGGGTGATGGAGACGGTGAAGGATGTTCCATAAGTACATTGCTGTGTCGACGCCTGCCCCTTGAGTTAATGCCCATCCCTGGACCCATAGCTGAACCCATGACCCCTGGCATTAATAATCCACCGCCCATCCCAGGTGGGATGCCAATTGCACCCAAACCACCTGCTCCTCCAGCTTTCTCACCACGGTCAGAGGTGCTGTTATTGTCTGTCCCTATACCACTGTCACTGGGCACCGTCTCCTCGCTGTGTGACTCACTGACTGGTGATGGCGTGGCTTCTTTTAGCTCACTCAGAGGGGCAGGGGAGGTGGGATGGAGTGGCCTGGGAGGGGAAAGCTTATGATAATGGTAGTGCTGCCTATAATGGTGATGGTGGTGATGATATCCACGGCAAGATGACTTTTTCTGGGAGGCTACTGGGACACCAGACGATGACATCGAGCCCATGATTGGGTTGCGAGGATTAGGAGCTGAAAAGGTTGGAGGAGGAAGCGAAAACGTGTTATGGCTATGATGAGAGTTGGAATAGTGAGAGTGACCTGCGAAGTGCACTGAGCCTGGCTCCACAAAGCTACCATCGCTGATGGGACTGTGGCCTCCACTTAACTGTGAGAGGGAGGGTGAGGAAAAAACCTCTGAGGAGAGCTGGTGCTGCTGATGGGACTGTGACTGATGGGGATGAAGAGGGGAAGTGGTGTTTGGAGATATAAAGGTTTCTGAAGGTGACATTGTAGCTGAGACATTAGTTGCTGCTTTTGGTTTACGGCCTCTCCTTTTACCCATGTATATTGTGCCCTTTTTACTGACATTAATTTGAGGCCCTAGTTTTCCTCCAAAAGAAGCAGCTAGGGATGACAATGACTGCGTTGCAGCTTCTGCTGTTGCAGCCATGCTACTAGTGGTGCCTTTAGGGGTGTCTTCTGACCTTGGGCCTAAAAGGATTTGACTGAGAATACGCTTCCGCTTAACGCTTTTCATCTTATTGATCTTGCCAATAATAGTTTTCATGATAAGCTGCCCGTTTCCTTTGTTGCGGAATCTTTCCCCTGCTTCTGGAGCCAACGTGGGAGGCTGACCCTCCTGCGGTAAAGTAGGAGGAAGGCGCTTGGGGCGCCCACGTTTCCTAGGCATAGGTTTAGGAGGGTTTAAGTCTACCTCTGGGTGAAGAACAGGTGGGTCCTGTTCTTCTTTGGACTTCAACAAAGATGAAAAGACCTTAGAGGGTTGTAGCTTGTTAGGGGGATTCCCACGGGCCGGTGCATCAAGCCTTGGCATTTTAGACTTTGGCCTTCCTCTTTTTTTAGGCTGGGGTGGGAAGAGCTGTGACACTGAATTTTGTGACACAGGATTTGGTTTGACCTTATTTGGATTCGGGGGCCTGCCTACGGGTCTTTTAACTGGTGGCGTTGGAGTTTCCAGGCTTGAAGATAAAGGCATGGTGGTTTTGTTCTCAGTGAAGAGACTGTCCAGGCTTCTCTGACTTTGGGCCTTTAGCATAACACGTGTCCAGCGGGGTTTTCTTCCCCTGCGCTTTTTAAGGGGTTTGCTGTCCTGCTCTGCTGGAGAGTCTAGGGATGAATCAGGAGAGTCATCTCTGAGAGGCGTCTGTGGGCTTTCTTCATCATCATCATCGTCATCATCATCATCATCATCATCGTCATCATCTGGCTCCAGTGGTGAAGGTGTCCTTTGTCTAATAGACTCAGGGGGACTGCTAGTCCAACTGGGTCGGTTACTATCCTGGTTGGGACTACGTTTACTTGGACTAGAACTTTTTCCCCTCTCAACTCGTACTGACTGGTTGCTTCCCCCTTTCTCTTTCCCTTCTGGCCTTCCAGTTGCTGCTGAAGGGGGGCACTTAGATAAGTCTCTGGGGATGTCCCTGTCTTGCTCTCGCTCACCTGCACTGCTTTCCTCTGCGAGGGCAGGAGACTCTCGTGCATGGTGTCCTTGTGAGGGAACAGGGGAGCCCAGGTGACTCACTGCACTCACCGTCCTCTGCTCCACCGATGATGATGAAGATGATGAAATTGGACACAATGAAGGTGACGTGGTATGGGGTAAGGAGTGAGCAGGGTGTAACGGTTGCTTAGAAATGCTACTGTTGCTGCTGTCACTGTTGCTTTCATTTGACAGGACTGTCAGGCGGTTATTGCCATAGGTGAATGCTGGGCTGTTGCTGCGACTACTGCTGTTGGTGCTGCTCATGCTGATACTGTTGTTTCCATTGCTGCTAGCAGCTTTCCCAGTCCCATCCAAGTCCTCGTTCCTCAGCGGCGTCAGGGTGGTTGAATTTTCTAAAATACTGTCTTTGCTTCTAGACCCATATGGCCGACCAGGTGGTCTTGACACAGGAGGTGGAGGAGAAAGGTGAACCATTCTTGAATATGTGTTCCTATTGGCCAAAGCTCTGTCTCGTTGCTTGGCTGTAGGGGCCATAAAGCCTGAGCTCGGAAGAGCAGGGCTGGGATCAATCTTTGCAGGTTTGGCTGGCTTAGGGGTCTTGGATGGTGGACAAGTTGCTATTAGCTGAGCTAATTTTTCAGTGACGGTTGGCGCTCCCCAACTCTGAAGACCTTTGTCCTTATCTCTTTGACTGTCTGTGCTGTAGGTACATTGAGGAGGCTTAACACCTTCAAGGCTGGGTTCTTTCGTTAAAGATAATGGCGGAGATGGTGAAGATGTCCGGGGGTTGGGTTGCGGAGCTGGCGCTTTCTTCCCAGAGGAATGCGTTTTGCTGTCTGGTGGAGGGCGGTGAAGGTTAAGTGGTCTCTCAGATGTGGTGGTAGCTGCTTTTGTGTCTGACTTTGAATCAGACTTGCAATCCATCTTTGGTGGACCCTGGAAGGGTGTTAGGGAGAAAAGGCAAGGGATTAATGAGAATAATAGAGATGAATAATTATTATGGTAAAGAAATAACAAACACACCACCCAAATTTCTAAATTATATATATATAATTTTAAATGTGGTAAACAAGCAGCAGGGGCGCAAACTAGGACTGCTTGATTTGCAATTTGAAGAAGGTAATGTACAATATTAAAGTTAAATATTATCTTTCAGATATATACAGCACCGGGTACATTATAATTAAGATATAAGCAATCTTGCACAACATTAAGCAATATTTTAAAATAAAGCGTAAAACAGAAAGTGACACACATCATGACAACACACATGGGAAGTATCAGCAGCAACTGAATGTTAAACATTCATTGGTAAGATCTTTACTCCAACGGTGCTTCACAGGCATGGCCAGAGGGGGAAGTTACCCTCAGCTCAATAACACTTATTAGGGTCAGACTGAGGACAGAGAGGGAGAGTGAGAGAAAGGGGTCATGCGGGGATGGGGGTGGAGAGTACACAGCCAGGCAGAGGACAGACGACACAGACGGAGGGTGATTGAAGGGGCCAGTGAGTGATGAATAGAGGCAAGCCAACTGAGAACACAATGAAAACTAAAGTAAAATTTATGCTCTGCTCTTTACTAGCGTAATAACACTGTGATTACTAGAGTAGCTTTGCTGTAGACCAGTGGCTGACTAATAACATTTTAAGGAAGTAAGGTGAATGAAAATAATTATACTAGTTGTCGTCACTGAATGTTTAATTTTGTTCAAAGTGGAAAATCACTGCTGAACCAAAATAAATAAAATCCACAGCATCTAGCCTCCATACCTTTTTTGCCGGCGCGTTCCCATTCATTTGGGAGGGTGTCAGGGTGGAAGTGCTAGCAGGAGGAGGAGCTAGAGGAGGTGGTGTGGGAGCTTTAGCAGTTGGGGCTGTTGAAGATGATGAGATGGGTGGTCTGTTTACACTGGGACTCTTTTCCCTCTCTTTTTCTCTGCCCTGTGAAGGACTCTGGCTCTGAGTGCCCGCCCCGTCACCCGTGGCGCCTGCACGGTTTCCACGGGCATTACCTCCTCCACGACCCGTATGCCTCACAGTGGCTCTGAAAGCCGGTCGGCACACATAGTTCTCCAGGATCTTAGGAGGCTTCTTCATGCGTTTCGCCTGGAGGCCAATCTTCAGTTTGACATTGCCCTCGGACAGGCTGCTCTCTTTGATGGAGAAATGGGACTGGTCACCACCGGCACCTCCTGGCCCACCTGTGCCTCCTGCACCAGCAGATGCGGTGGGGGTTCCCTCCTTCTCTCTGTCCCTCTTTTTTTCCTCCTCTTCTTCTTTCTTCCCACCCGCTCCCTCCTTCTCTCGCTCCCCTGTGGGAGCACCGGACAGGAGAGGGGGTGGAGTTGCAGTCCTCCCTTGAATCTTCTGATCCATTAGATTGTTTGGGGGGGTACAAGTTTATGGAGTTTAAGGAGTGGTTAATGTGGATACCAGGTAGAGTTTTTGTCTAGGGATGGGATAAGGGTGAAGGGGGGAAAGGGGGAGGGGGATAACGGTGAGGGTGAAGCTCTCCTTGCTTTGGGGGCTTCTCTCCCTTCCTCGGCTGTCCAGCCCTATTTCTCCGTCCTTCAACTGCAGGACCAGGGACAGGTAGAGGGGAGAGAAAGAAGAAAAGGGAGGGTAGAGAAGATAAAAATAAATTCCACATTAGTCACTGAAATAGAAAAACAGAAACACTGACAGTTTTAAACAGTCTTAAAATGAACGCTGGTGAAAGGCAGACAGAGAGCAACAATTTTATTATCTGTTTGGTTAGAGTGTCCTTCATCTCATCTCTGACACTTTTTATGGTGCGCTCATCCTCATAGATTATAACAATCTGTGACCTATTTACACAGCAAAGTCCCCTCTACCTCACCTCAGAAATGTAACCTTAGGAACAAGGACTTTGAATTGTCCACCTGCGATTTCCAAAGCAGATTTACTTTAGAGCAGTGGCTTCCAAACTGGGTGCCTAGAGACAGGTCCAGGTGTGGTTAGGGATTTTTTTTTTTGTAAAGAAAAAAAATTATTATTGCAGGATCATAGAAAGTGGTGAACGACAATTTTCAGTTTACTATGCCAGCGCACATCAAAAGGCCTTGACTGATGCTAAAGACAACAGCATTTGTCAGAAACGCCTGTGAAAGCCACCCGTCATATGGCTTTAACTAGACCAGGGATAGCAACAAGTCAACATAATGCCAAGCAAGCTCTAACCCAGAGATGGCAAGAACGCATCTATGACATGCAAGTGTCTGTCACGGGCATGGATATAAATTAGAAGCCAGTGGAGTTTAGTCCAAAAGTAATAACATTGTAAAAATCAGGCCCAATAGTTCATTTGTCTGACAATACAATGAAAATAGTCACTCGTGCCATTCCAGATGGCATTAGAGGCTATTTTCTCCCTTGAAATTTTGTTTGGCTTGCTCTTTGGTGTTCCTTGGAGTCAGTAGTTGATCCCACAGCACTGCCACATCCTTCCAAGTGTTACGGAGTAAGATGCAGAATGAGCAATCCCTTAAGTGTTCTCATTAGCTGCAGTGAAAACGGGTGCCTGTGATAGTGGCAGCTCACAGCTCACACGCTAGCAGCAGAGAGCAGCATGCTTCTTAATTGTCCTCTTTGGGAGGACAGCCCAATTCAATGAAGTTGTCTACAGCTCCCCGCGGCCTCTGAGTGATTTAATGCGGATTTGCCCCCAAGCAGGTGCTTTCTCTGGGTGAAGTCATTTGGAGGCAATTCAGAACTGTGACCTCAGCACACTAGGTCTCTGGGACTAGACGAGAGGATCCAGCCGCCTTTTCCAGCCTGAGTGATCAAGCGTCAACATGCCGGCGGTTTTTCTGCATCCTACATTAGTGGAGAGCACTAAAGGAGGTACTTAATGGAGCCTCGGGAAAGTCATACAAGTCATCACATCAGTAAGGCATCACGGTAAGATGAGGGGGGGAAAGGAAAACGAAATCTTCCTTGCAATAGTCTTACACTATGTTTGTTTTGGATTATGACAGTGGAAAACAGTAGTAGAGATTTTTTTAAACCACACAGTAAACACTGCAGAATTTTTGGATTCTTGCCTGCGGTTCCCCACATGGTTCTTTCAGTGTTTACTTCAATTACTCACTCCATTTTGCCTCAAAACTGCACACTCCCCCTCGCTACACATACCACACTGAAAATCACACCTCCCACTTTTCTTTAACACTCCATCAATCTTTGTGTTCTTTCCCCCGGTTTTCTTTAAGCTTTTCCATCCTCTTCCTCCTCGATTTCGCAAACTTGGAAAGCACTGAGAACAGCACACAAACTAAAGTCACTGTGTTCCCACTTTAATCAAAAACACATTTCACCCATCACCCACCCCACCAACTCCTTTTCCCTGTGTCCTTTTTACACACAGTGACAAATGTTCTCCTCTTTCTTTTATGCTCACGGTGATGGGAGCTGCTTCCGTCGCATAACAGCAGCAATGCCAAAAATAAGCCACTTTAGTAACCAACTCTGTGGACAGCTAGTGACACAAGTCGGCAGAAAAGCCTCCCAGAGAGTCAAAACATTCCCCTCACCTCTAACAAGCTAAGTCAGGTCATTTACTGGCATTCGCTCCCCTGCTGATAATCTGACACCAGGCCACATCGCTTTCTAATTTCTCATTGATCAGCCTTAACACTCAAGTGTATCATTTTCATGTCTAGCGCTGAGGTACTTTTTGTATATGTGAAGCAGTTAAACTGCACTACAGTCATTTCATTGCCATAGTCATACTGCAAAACAACTAAATAGCAACACTTGTGGTTTTGAAGGCTGATATTAGTCACGCCTGTCTGTCCTTTGCTTTTGTTTTCTGAGAAGACCAGTATGCAATGCTATGAACGCAAACAAATGCCAAAAGAAAAACGACAAGATTCAACAATCAATTTCACTCCAACAACCTAAGAAATAGCAGAGCAGGGAGGAACGTAGTAAACAACTCCCGCTCCCCCTCTCTCATTTCTTCCCCCCTTTACTCCCTCCCTCCTTTCACTCCCTCCTCACTTTTGCACACGTTGTTCATAACTGCTTATTTCCCTTTGGCCATAGCAATAGTATCCCACCCACCCACCAACCAACCCACCCCCCTGCATCATTCACATGAGGGCTGGCGTCTACCCTGAGAGCTCCCTGTCATTTCCAGAGCTCCACTGGTATTACTACAGGGCCGTGCTCAGAGGAGGGGGTGGAAGCAGGCAAATTCCTCTACTACTACAACCACCAGCACCACCACTGCCGCCGCTGCTTTGTATCATCCAGCAGCGGAAGTGCTATAGAATTGTAACAGACCGTTGCTTTAAAAAAGAAAGAAGCGGGGACAATGATTAAACTCCCTGTTAACTCGCTGCGACAAAGCGGAACAGAGAGGCAGGTGTCAGTCACACCTGCACCGTGCAAACATCTCCCCCAGCAGCCCAGGGAAGTTCAACCAGAGGACTTCCAGTACAGCGCAAAAACATACGTGCACTTTAATTTAGAACAAGAAAAAACATGGCTAACCAGAGCATGAGTGAGCAAACCAAATAACGTTATCTGCTTTCGGTTTCCTGTGCAGTCAACACAGCCCCTCAAGGGACCAACTCATGAGTCTGCGAACCGATCAGCCCTAATTTCCCCCGCAACTGCCCTTATCTAGTCATACTCGTAATTACTGTGTTAATACAAAAAAAACCGAGTATCTACATGCGGTTCTGCAAGCATGCTTTTGGGGTGGGAAGACGTCTACTCCTGCGTAAACAACACCTATCAATGTGCATCATTTCCACTCACCTCTGAAATAGTCCAGAAACGGTGTTCACATTATTTGGCTGTGTCCTGTCTTCTTGTGTATCAACGTGGTGGCCACATTTCCCCCCCTTTTATTAAAATAATCTTCCAACAGCTGAAAAGCCAGAATGAAAATAAAAAAACATGATCAGAACAATTTAAAAAGGGCTACAGTATGATATAGATATATATATATATATATATATATATATATCAACGCTGTTGTAGGAGTATTACAAACAACCTCAAACGGAAACCACTGCACACAGCTCCTGACCACTCACTAAAATTGATCGTTAACCTTGCCAAGCTCCAAGACACAAAGTTGCTGAGTGCCAACATGCAAAGCACCCCCACTCGCTCCCCCTTAACAATTTTATTTCCACAACACTTAGCACTAACAGCCGGAGCGGTAAAGTAATAGATCGCCACTTGGAGCTTAATATAACCCCATGCATCACGAAAGTGTTGTTTATTTTGTAAAGAGCCAGCCCGTAAAATCAGTCCAATAATAGACACGGGACTACAGTCTGTATCAATGGCATTGGCAGCAGCTAACTAGCCATCTATCAGCAGCCTGTTTGAGAGCTATTTAAGCAAATTTCACTTAACTTAGACGCCGTGTAGGCAGCAAATGAATAACAAACGCCCACAGCTTTCATACAATTTGTGTAAACCGAGTGAAAGTGACACAACCCGGGACAAGTGATGTACATAATCTTGCATCTCCGTCACATTCTCGCAGGCACTCGTGTTACTACATCTCAGCTACGACGGCTAGCGATGCACTAGCAAGTGAGCTAAACCAGAAAAAAAAATTCCCAACGTTACCTCAAAGACAAACGCGCAATTAAATCTGCTTAAAAACGCGAGTAAAACAAAAACAGGGACTTATATTCCGGCGGTATAAAATAACAGATGCAGGGCTGTGTGGGTTATTTAAAAAAAAAAAACACTAACTGTCAACAAAATGGCGGCTGCGTTGAATCAACAGAGACCCGAAATGGATCTCCCTCTTATTTCTTCTTCCTCGGTGCCTAAATCCTTTTTTCGTCACGGCGACTGGTATCCGTAATATCTCCCGAGATGCTCCGAAATCCACTCCGACACACCGTTAGCTGGGCCTGGATGTGTCAGCGCGGGCCTCTCTCGTCAATCGGGCCTCCATGTCTGCTCAGCCCGTATCGCTACTGTGTCAGTACAACACGGGCATTCTCGGTCGCTGAGAGGAGGGAGGGAGGGAAGGAGGACGGACCGAGGAGGGCGGAGGGGAGAGGAGCGGAGAGGAGGTGAGGAGAGCAAATGTCGGTTGTACGCGGTTCCTGCGGTCCCCAGTCATTGACAAAAATGACTGTGTTTCATTATTTCGCTATTTTCGGTTGCACTAGGGCGAGGGTGTGTTTGGCGGCGCGCAACAGTCAACTGTCAAATCCCGGTTTCGTGCCTCCTTTCAAGGGGTCAAGCCTATAAATAAACCATCCTGCCCTCTGTTGTCATGTTCGACTCTGATGGATTGGGCGACTAATCGATCACCCTCTGGCGTTTTTTTTAATCCTTTCCTTTTTTATTGCTTGTTTGTTTTTTTCTGGATGATAATAAAAAGCTGATTAAGTGATTTAAAACTGTCAAGAAAAATTCTTCTTTTATTTGCTTCTGTCTCACCTGATCTCTAGCATCTGCTTCTGTCACACTTCTCTGAGGTTTTCCTCTTTTCTTCCTGCCTGGCAGCTCCGCATCCCTCCTCTACACACGTCCAAACTATAACTAATATCCTCATTTATAATTTTGTCCATCCTGGCAGCTCCCAACAAAAATATAGCATATTCAGCTCTGCCACTTCCTGACTTTTTGTCAGTGCAACTGTCTCCAAAGCGTACATCTTACTAGGTCTTGTAAACCTTCCCCTTCACTCTTGCCACAAATCATCCCTGACGCCTGTCTCCACCCAGTCATCCCTGCCTGCCCTCTCTTCTTCCCCTCTCTCCAGCGCTGTCCTTTGTTTTGAATGATTAACCTCAGTCATTTAATGGCATCTACCCTAACTACTACCCCTGCTCCTTGCAGCTTCACTGTTACACCTCCCTCTTATTCACACACACACGTATTCTGTTTTACTTCTACTTTCTTTCATTCGCTCTCTCTCCAGAACATACCTCCACCTCTCCAGGCTCTCTTCCACCTGCTCCCTACGGATCACAGTGTAGATATATATGGACAGCAGCTGTACTGGTTAGGGATTAATACATTCAATGTTGCATCTCTAATGAATACACAGCTAAGCACTGTTTGTGCTGCGCTTTTAAAACCACTGCAGCTGGGCTCCCACTTGTAAGGACAGTAGCCACTGTACTAAATCATAGTTATTTATATGCTTACTGACCACTTTATAAGGTGCATCTGTCCACCTGCTCATTAACCAAAAAGGTCAGCCAATAACACAGCTCAGTGCATAGGCATGTGGACTTGATCAAGATGGCCTGCAAGAGTTCAAACCAAGTATCAGAATGTGGGAGAAAGGTGATTTAAGTGGCTTTGATTACGGTGTGGTTGTTAGTTCATGACAGGATAGTCTGAATGTTTCAGAAACTGCTGATCTACTGGGATTTTCACACACTAACATCTCTAGAGTTTACAGAGAATTGTCTGAAGAGGAGAAAATATCAAGTGAGCATAAATGTCTAGTTGATCTCAGAGGAAAATGGACAGACTGGTTTAAGCAGATAGAAAAACAACAGAAGACTCAAATTACCACTCGTTACATCAGAGGTATGCAGAAGAGCATCTCTGAACATGTTGAGCCTTGAACGGAGTACAGCAGCAGAAGACCACGCCTGTCAGCTAAGAACAGGATGCTAATACGATTCACATCAAAGGCTCAGCAAACCTGGACAACAGAAGACTGGAAAAATGTTGCCTGGTCTGAGGAGTCCAATTTCCAACATTAGAGATACTACGGCCTCTCTGCGTGAAATTTCATGTTCTCCTCGTGCCTACATGGGTTACCTGGGAATTCCAGCTTGCTCCCATAGTCCAAACACATGCATGTTCAGTTAACTGATCGCTGCTGAACGATATAAAGCAGGGAAAAAGCAGCTTAGATAACATTTGGGGTCTGAAACAAGTGAATGCTCATAATTTTTGCTTAATAAATGAGTCATATTATTTCATAAAAGGTGTGACAATTCCTCTGCTGTCATACACTAATAGATTGATATCTTAGACGAGCAGTTTGACTATATAATGTGACTATTTTCTGAAGATGAGCTATGTGGGGGTTTTTTGTTTGTTTGTGGTATGAATTCCTGTTAAAGCATACAGAGGTTTCAAATGGACAAAAAATGTCATCGAGCAGTTACTGACCACAAAATGCAAAAGAGACAAATAGAACTGGCAGATATGCACATAATTATATCTTAATCCAGTGTTTTTGAGCTGTGGGGAAGGCCCCAGTGTTGCTGTGCACATAACCAGTTGAAAATGTGAACTGAAACCAAGATAAATTAATCTTCTTCTTCTTCTTTGTTAAGGGAAAATAAAGAAAGCATATCTCGCTGATGCCATTACGCTGCCCTTAAATAAAATTGAACACGGACCTTTTTTATTATTACGTTTTTATAAAACTGTGGGCTCTGTAGAATGAACAGTTTTTGGCTTAGAAAGTTTGGGAAGCACTATGTTTTTCTAAGTGACTGGTTAATATCTGCTTCTAAATCTGAGATATGTTAGAGAGAAAAGACAGAGGATGGTAAAGATCACTGGGCTGGGCTTTAATAACGCTGTACACAGGTAAAAGGTCAACAATATACTGCATTAAGAAACTCTCTTACCAAGAAAATAATGCATAATTCTGTGAGTTCCTCTTTGACAGCCACAGATAGCTCAGTGGGGATTAGTTCATGACATCAAAATCAGTCATTCGGAAAACCACCTAAGAGTGCGTAACAAGGAGGACACATCACCTCTGAATTTTGTCAGCAAACTCTCAGATGTAGCATAAAATGGTAACTATGCTGGAGTAGAAGTTCCTTAAGCAGAGATGCGTGAACCAAGTGAGAGTTAAAGCTGCAAATTAGGACTCTGACACATCTGTTTTATTTAAAAGCAGCTGATGTGGGGAGCAAAATTTCCGACGTGGGAGGTGTGACTCCTGAAAACAGTAAAATGAAGTAGAGTTGTCGTCCCGTTTCTCAGATCGCCTGCCTCTCCTGTTGCTCTGTCCTGAGGGAGCGTTCTTCTGCGGGTTCCGATGTGGGCGGGAGGCTGTTGTCGACACCATCGAGGCTTTTGCGGCACACGGGGCAAGTGTCGTGCTTTGAGAGTAGAAAAACTCTTGTTAATCAGCAGAAACTATGTGACACAACACTCTTTATAGCATGCTACAACCTGGGAAATCTTTTATTTTTATTACCAGACCTTTAAACCCCTCAAACCCACTGACCGCAGCCTTACCAGCTCCAGCCACGGCACTATACATTCACTGTGGAAGTAATGAAGGCAGGGAAGCTTCCTTACAGTTTCCCCTAATGAATATTCTTCCCTGCAAACCGGACACTCCAGTCTGCAATCTAACAAGGAAGAAATGGAAGGAAAAAGCATGAACGAGTATGTGGAAGAAGACAAAACCAAAAAAATCCAGTTATTAGACAGGTCTGTAGACTATTGCAGTGTAACAAGGTAGTACAGACTATATACCTAATATGATTTATAACATAGTTCTCAATAGATAATATTAAGTGGTCTCTTTTTACAACAAAGATGAAAAAAGGAAAGATTAGTGGAAAGGATAATGGGCAGTATAAAGAAGATAAAAGTAGGGAGAGGAACGTAAGAGGTAGGAAAGAAATATGATGAGGGAAGGAAAGATGGAAGGAGATAAATAATACAGGAGAAGGAAAGTAAAGCTACAAGGACATAAATAAGAAAAAGTAAAATAACTGCAATGGACAGGGAGGAAGCACAGTGAGAGGAGAAAAGAAAACATAGACGACAGAATGAAAACGAGGAAATAAGAAGGAAGAGGAGCTAGATATAAATTACAGAAACACGGCAGGCGTAAAGGGAACATAGCTAAAGGAAAGGAAAGATAAAAGAGGGAGGAAAATATAGGAGAGGGAAAATACATATAGGATGATGGTGATAAGAGGAAGAGGAAAGGAAATGTAGGAATAGTGAAAGAATAAATAAATGCTACGAGGAGGCAAGGAACGTGAGAAAAACAAAAATAACAGGAAAAGACAGCATGAGGAAACCTATGAAATGTAAAATAATTACTGGTAGGAGTATTACAAGAAAGACACAACAAAGAAATTTAAGTCTTCATCTTCCAGCTGCTCTCATCAGGGGTCACCACAGAGGATCATCTGCCTCCATTTCACCCTATCCTTAGCTCCCTCTTCTGTTACACCAACCCTCTGCATGTCCTTCACTGTGTCCATGAATCTTCTCTGCAGTCTTTTTCTTTTCCTTCCTGCATAGCAGCTCCATCTTAAGCATCCTTTGTCCAATTATATCCACTATCCTAACCTGAGATGTCCCTCTGATGTACTCATTTCTAATCTCGCCCATGCTGGTCACTCCTAACAAAAATCTAAGCATCGTCAAATCTGAGACATCCAGCTCCGCCTCCTGTATTTTTATCACTGTCTCCAAACCATATATCACAGCAGCTCTCACAACCTTACCCTTTCACTCTTACTGCTATTGTTCTGTAAATAAATCCCTGACACTTGTCCCACTTGCTTCCTTCTACTGACTTTCATTCATCGTCTCTCCAGATCATACCTCCACCTGCTCCCTGGCCTCTCTACTCTCACAGTGTCGTCTGTGAGCATCATAGTCCATAGAGACTCCTTCCTGGCCTCATCAGCCAGCCTGTTCATCACCACTGTAAACAAGAAGGGACTCAGTGGTGCTCCCTGATGTAATCCCACTCCATCTTGAATCCATCTGTCACTTCTACTGCATACCTCACTACTGTCTCATTGTCCTCATAAAAGTCCTGCATCACCCTTATGTACTTCTCTGCCACTCCTGACTTCCTCATGCAGTACCACATTTCCTCTATTGGTATCTTATCTACTCCCACGTAGACCTCCTCTGTATTTCATTCTCAAAGCAAATATCACACGTGCAGTGCCCTTCCTCAGCATGAACCCATACTGCCGCTCACTGATCAACAGCTTTCTTCTTGCCCTAACTTCAACAACTCTTTCCTGTATCTTCATAGTATGTTTCTTCAGCTTTATCAC